ACGTACCGGCCCCAATCCCCAGAATGAGCGCCAACACCCGCGTGGTTCCCGCGTACGGGCCCACCAAAATTTTTTTTGGGGTAAGTTCATAACTCGGGGATCTGAGAAGCTAGAACGCTGAAATCTTAGGGCAATGTTCCCCGTCCAAGTAGGTATTAACAAGTTCAACCTCTGCCCGCGGGCAAGCGTGATACCTGCGTACGGGCCCTTGAAAGTTTCTTCCGGGTAAGTTGCTAACTCGGGAAAGTGAGAAGCTAGAAGACTGGGGTTTTGAAGGGATGTTTCCTGACAGCCCTGGCGGCCAGTCTGAAATTCTTTTAGCTAGAAACATCTGCCAGAAAAACCAGTGCCGTTAGCGACAAAAATTTGCAGGGAGCTGTGCAAAAAACGCATCTTCGCACGGGAGCCCGTACGTAGGCCAATTATTGCATTTGCGTATATGCGTACATAGATGTCGTGACGCCGCGGAGTCACGTGTTATGCAGCGTGTATTGCAGTGCTGACCACTGTCCACTACAGCAGTTTTGCTTCCCAAGCGTTCACGGAATGATGGGCCGTCCGCGTGTCTTCTTCGATATCACAATTGGTGGAACAGCAGCAGGCCGTATTATCATGGAGGTAACTGCTTTTTTTTTCGCATTTTTTTGCGGGAACGAGCACGGTTTCGTACGGAAACGGACTTGAAATAGAGAAAGAGGAAGTGAAATGTTGTAAATTTGGCAAAAAAATGAGCGAAAATGTAAGGCAGGATTGGATATTTTTGATTTGTATCAGTTTTTTGCATGAAGCCTGGCCGTTTTTCCAGTGAATGCTCGTTTATCGAAAAAAAATGCAAATTTGAAGGAAGTCGTAAGAGGATTATGAAATCTGCAGAGTGCACTCGCTTTTGAGTTTGCGATAAAACTGACTAATGAGTGTGTGATCGATGAATCTTTATAAGCATTTGGGCAGATCTTTACACTCATATTTTAAGCAATTCTATTGTTGAAGTGGATTGAAACCCGATGTGAATGTGCAGTTCTGTTCCATTGCAGCTCTTCAACGATATTGTGCCGAAAACGGCCGAGAATTTCCGTGCCCTATGCACCGGCGAGAAAGGTATCGGCAAATTGGGCAAACCTTTGCATTACAAAGGTTCCAGATTCCATCGCGTGATCCCGAATTTCATGTGCCAGGTTTCCCTAAATTGTGTTTTTTTTTTCGTTTTGCACTTAAATTAGTGAATTTGTTTATTTTTGTACTGGTTTTTTTTTCTTTTGCTTTTATCTGATAAGTCAGGAGCGAATTTTAAATCCATGAAAAACTTCTGGGACTTAGGTTGGCACTGAAGCATTTTTTGCTATAAAGTAGGAATTGTTTTTACCTTGCTTAACGCCTGAGAAGGGGGCTGATAATAGTTTTTCCAGCGTGTGGTTGCTGTTGGCAAAGTGTTCTTACTTAAGTCGTAATCGAATACCTCCGCCCAGTTGTGGAGTATATGTGAGAGGGGAGAAATAAGGGAAAGTTGAAGTAAAGTACCTTTTGGATGATAGTTATCTACAAGTTAAGATGAGACAAAAGGCCCTCAGTTTGCATAGTATTTTTATAGGTCGATTTCTTTTTAACACTAAAATTAATGTAAATTTAATGAAAATTGCTAAAATTTTTTCCAGGGAGGTGATTTTACGGTTGGGAATGGAACTGGTGGCGAATCAATTTATGGAGAAAAGTTTGAGGACGAGAACTTCATCCAGAAACACACCGGACCTGGTGTACTGTCCATGGTGAGCTGAAATTGGCGTGATGCATGCTTTTTGCTGAGTTTTCATTTAATTTTTGTTGGAAATTTTGCTTTTGCAAAGTTTTATGTCGCTGCATACGTTAGGAAAGGTAAGATTCGCAGAGGTTTGAGGAGATTAGATCATTGTAAAAATTGATTTGTTTGTAGATGATAAGATAATAACTTTGTTCAAGCAAGAAATCGGTCATCTTAATAATCCCACGCGTCGCTTCTTGAATTTTTTCCCAGATTTCCCCCCAGGGGACAGCTTTCACTTTTTGTTTTATCACCTTTTTTGTGATGTTTTGTTGTAAGAACTTGATATTACGGTTGTAGTGTTGATACTAGTGAGATGGTTTTCATTATTTTTGTACGAATCCATGTTGCTAGCTGGCAGATATGAGCTGAGGCTGCTGGCTTTTTTGCAAAAAATTGCGAGTTCAATTCGGTCAGTGAGACAACCAGTCCTTCGAAGATTATTTTTGTCCATGATGAATTACTGTTGGCCCATACCCAGGGCTTTAAAATTACCATCAGCTTTCTGAACCATTAATAGCTTATGTAAGTGCTGCTACTCAGGCTACTGCCTCTCCATTTCGTAGAGAACAAATACGGGAGCAGGGGATTTTGATTTAGATATCTGACATTTTGCTGAGCTTGTCATGAACGGAGCTCCAAAAATTGTTCTGGACTGGGAGGGAATCGAACCACCTTCGTTCAGGTCCGAATACAATGTATTACCACTACACCACCGGTCTCTGTGCTCCAGGTTCAGCGTGTCTGTCTGCATTTTAAAGCAAGATACACCTCTTTTTCTTTCTGGCGGCTTCTGATCCATGGTTTCCCGCGACTTATAGGATTGGTTTACCTTCCTTTCTTCTTTCATCCTCCATTTTTCGTGCTATGGAAATCATTTCGTTGCTCGCAAAAACTTGACTTTTCTCTTACAGTGTTAGAGAGTCATTTTGGTGTGGGGAATTTTTGTGAAACAAAGCATTTCTGAGGTTTTTACTAGCGCATGATCGGAGTCGCTGATTTTAGGCGAATGCAGGCCCGCATACCAATGGATCTCAGTTCTTCCTGTGCACAGTGAAGACGGACTGGCTCGATGGGAAGCACGTTGTGTTTGGCCGCGTTGTTGAAGGCATGGATGTTGTAGGCAAAATTGAACAAGTGGTATGATATATATGTACTTATTTGTTTAGGCAGTTTGAGGTAAATTTGAGGTAAACTCGAAATGTGAGGTAAATCCGAAAAATACTGACTCATTTCGTCACTAAATGTACGGGAAAAACTCATCATGTAACTTGCTTTTGCACTTTTTTGAAGGGTTTCTGTAATGTTTAGGGTTAAAGAAAAAATGTGAGAAAAAACGATGAAAGGGTTGTAAGGAATTACTAAAGTAGGTAAGAAATGTTTCGGTCCATTAAGTCGTATACATTTCTTACCTTTACCACAATTGGACCTTGTCAGTACGACGATTTGTCATAAATATTCATTCTTGCAGGGCTCGCAGAGCGGCAAAACGTCGCGGGATGTTATAATAGCGAATTGCGGCCAGTTGTAAGCGGACTGCGCATATTGTTGAGCCACACACTGCGGTGATCACTTCTTGTTACATGTGATCCCAAATACGCCCATTGCTCGTTGCGTTTCCGCAGATTTATTAAATGTTTTTTTTAGATGTTTTTTTTTTTGCTTTAGAAATTTCACAATTCCAAATTTTTTGAATATCCTATTGCGATCTGCATCAGTCGAGCTCTGGCTCTAAAGCATTGTCGTCTTCTGTCCATCAACAGCCTGAATCACGTTGACCCCTTTTCTGTTTGTTTTTGGTAATTTTTACTGTTGTACTTCCAACAGAATTGATGAAATTTATTCGATAATCGCATTATTATCAGTATCAGCAATTCCTCTTCCTTTTTGCATTTTGGCGTAAAATAATACAACCCATTTTCTTTTTTTTTTGTTAAATTGTTCAAATGACTTTTTTTTTGGAATAAATAATTCAAGTTGATGTGTGTTGCGTTCAGTCATCACTGAAGTGATATGATTCGACGAGCAGTGCTTCATTCTTCTGTATTCTTGCTTATTGTTTTTTTTTTTTTTTTAAATTATGTTTGGGATGGTTTTTATCGCATTCATCGTTGATGTATTTTTTATAAGTTTCGTGTACAGGCAGGTAATTGTTTAGGGAACGGATGTTATTTTTTAAAAGGTTAGGAGGTGATAGAACCGCTCATTTTCACTATCTTCGAATCCTTCGAGACGTGACGTGTTATCCACTACACTATCAGCTCCAGTGCACCCTACTCGGCAACTGGCCCATTTATATATATATATATATCAGTAAGAATGAAATCCTGCACGGTCTAACGATGTTTCTTAGGAGGTTTAGGAGCGTTTTTGTAGCATTTTTGAGGCATTTATCACTCGTTCATTTTACTTTTCATACTTGAATATTGTTTGTGCTTCACCTGGGATCTCGTGTTACAATTCTCAAGGGAAAAAGCTTGCGCGCTGAGCCACCAAATGGGAAAAAGCGTTTTCCTATCTTTTTTGTGTTGGTTTTTTCGATAAAAATTC